TTTTTATATATATAAAAATAAACCTCTCACTGCAGTCGGGAGGTGGCAGACATGAATGCAGTCTATGTTGCTCGGAGTTTTTGATACTAGGGTTGTCTCCTTTCAGGGAACGTATAATACCTTTTGGCAATTTTCTTTTTATTTTGTAATTCTTAAATAATAAAATTCAAAAAGCAGGAGAAAAAAAAAATCTGGAACAGGCTGTTCCTCTGTCATCTACTTCCAGATGGTTCCAATTCAGCAAAGTGACATAAACCAATGTGTGAGGCTGATAATGCTACAGTTATCTGTTCCTTTCTGTTCCGCCTAGGGACACTTGCTGATTAGGCAAAAATGTTACTATTTTTCTCCTCTCTTCTGTTTTCAGTATTTAGTTGAGATGAGGATCATTTAGCCCCTAAATAACAGCTTTTTGGCACGTTCATAGGCAGGCTGAATTTAAGTAAGGCCAAGGGCACGCCATTCTCACGGTCTGGCAAGGAGGCACTCAGTCATTTCTAATCGCCAGTTCCAAAAGATGTTTCCTGCTTAAGTGACCAGTAACACCAGCAGCAGAAGCTGATGCTCAGATTTTGAAAACTGGACTTCAGATGTCAGAGCAGTATAACAACTGGGCCTCTGAAGAAATACCTAAGCATTTGTTGCGTATCCTTGAGCATGCTTTAACAATAGGTCTCCTGTACAATTGGGTCCTTAAAGCTCTTTGAAATGGCATTTCTCAGCAGAGGAAAAGGGCTGGGATTCTGTCAACATGGTAAGAAAACCAAGTGAACATCCAGTGTTACATTCTTATTTCTCTCCAATATTTTAAAGACCTTTTTCAGGATTGTTGTTCCTCTTTCCCGTAGCTTCTGCAAAGGAAGAACGCTTCACTCGTTTGTAAGGGACCCCAAGATATCCCTGGATATTAACAAAACCAGGCAGATAGCACAGGAGATCATTAAGGTAAGGGTACGTTATGCTAACGGAGACACCTGCTTTCTGGGCAGTGCCTCAGCAAGAGTTTAGAGGCTGCACAGCTGGAAAGGTTCTGTAAGTCTCAATAGCCCGACAGCGTGTTGCAGCAGGAGATACTCAAAGTTGGCTGAAAAAAAGTGCTAATTTAGTGGCCAGTAAGCTAAGGGCTTGTAAGGAGAGAAACAGACCTTTTGCTTGTCAGTTAGGGGCTGGGGAGGGAGAATTTCAATAAAGGGAACAATGAAGAAAGGTATGCAGGACAGGTTTCCTTCCCCGTCGCTTCTCTTTATTAGTAACTGCAGCTAAGGTAATGCATTCTGAAGTAGATGGCATTTTCTCCTAGATGTGCACAGCGTCTTCTGTGCTTGCTTTCAATATTTCTCAACTGAAGAAGCATTTCTAAAGTTGCTGTCTCCTTTTCTGGCGGAAATATCCTGTGAATTTTGTGAGCAAACTTCTGTCAGTTATTCATTGTTCTTACACATACAGACTTCTTCAGAATTGTGAAGTCCACAGCCACGTAATGCTTCAACTAAGAGTAGCCTTCCAGCAGCCCTGCTGTGCAGAGAACGAAAAGCAATTCAGAGGCTGAGCACTAAACTAAGATCGGCTCCCTTGTACCCTTCCTGCATAAGTCAGACAGCTGCTGTGTCCCCACTTACAATTAATCATTTATGCTGGAGTAATGAGAGTGAATGTGTATTAGAAAGCAAAGCATGCCTAGAGTTAGATGCTTGTAAATAATAAAGTTTACTTCTCCGCATATATTTCCCAGGGCATGGGGTATCTTCACGCAAAGGGGATTGTACATAAGGATCTAAAGTCCAAGAATGTTTTCTATGACAATGGGAAAGTTGTGATCACTGACTTTGGATTATTTGGAATCTCGGGTGTGGTTCAGGAAGGAAGGTAAGTGCTCGGTCCAATTCTAGAGTGATAAATAATGATCAAATAGGGAAACATTTTGATGTGTTACACAATACAAGTGAGGGGTGTTGACTGCTTTAGTACATACACTTCTGGAATATGCACTTTTTCTTTGTTTTCATGTTTTTTTAGCAGAGTTCTTTCTAGAGTTCCCCTAACACACAGCTAGGAAGTTATGTATGGAGTAAGACTCAGAACAAAGAAAACTTTAAGCCCAAGAATGAGCTGGAGAGTCAGGCTAACACATGCATATTTTTTAATATAGCAAGAAAATTAGAAAGGAAATGTCAGCAAAAACAGCTGAGTAAATAAAGTAAAGGCATTAGGTGAAGCACAGATACGGTCTGTACACTGCTTCTTGGTTGAAGCAGTAGTGTTTCAGTACCACTTCTTTCTTTTGAACTCAGGAGGGAGAATGAATTGAAGCTGCCTCATGACTGGTTATGCTACCTGGCACCCGAGATTGTCCGTGAGATGGCCCCTGGGAAAGATGAAGACAAGCTGCCTTTCTCCAAAGCTGCAGATATCTATGCCTTTGGGTAAGAGAGGAACACCTGAGTACCACGGGAGCTTGCTAAATCAGATTTGTTAGAGGCCTGAGCCTTGTGAGCCAGCGGTCCTCTTCTCACAGACTCGCATTTTTCTCACCTACTACAAAAGTCAGGGGTGGGAGGTGTGTGGGGCGGGAGGGATTTGCTGCACAGCCTTATACATCTTCCAGAGCTTATCTGAAGAAATTGGAACAGTGTCAGGGTTTTGTACCTTTCCCTTAAGAGCAGGCAAAGGCTTGATTCATCTGTTGGCGTTGCAGGACTGTGTGGTATGAGCTCCAAGCAAGAGAATGGCCTTTCAAGAGCCAGCCTGCAGAGGCGCTCATCTGGCAGATTGGAAGTGGCGAAGGAGTGAAACAAGTCCTTTCAACTGTTAGTTTGGGGAAAGAAGTCAACGTAAGTACCTCAGTTGCAGGAATCCTTCCATATAGCTATTCATCAGGAAAAGAGGGAGCTGCCTAAAGAGGAGATTTATTTTACTCTTATTGTAACCCTAAAGATAAAGGGCAGGAGAGAGAACAGATTAGAATGGGACACCAGCTTAGATACTAAGCCTCTGCACAGAACTGTCATATAGAAGTGGACATCCACCGGCACGCAGGAACTGTTTGATTAGAAGAATGTCCAAGACTGCTGTTAAACAGTATCTCTGGCTGGGCTCACACAAATCACAATGCTCAAATGAGTTGCTTGGTCTGCACAGTTGACCTGTGAACTAAGTGGAGTAATGAGCCACAACTACCCTTTGCAGGAAATTCTCTCGGCATGCTGGTCATTTGATCTCAGTGAGAGACCCAGCTTCACTGTCCTCATGGATATGCTTGAAAAACTGCCAAAATTGAATCGTCGGCTCTCCCACCCAGGGCATTTCTGGAAGTCTGCTGAGTGAGTATTTGCTGCTGCTAAGAACATTTATGCCGCTCAGAATTTGCTAGCTGATCATTTCTATGCTTTATTTTGCCTTCCTGCGGGCTGTCAAACCTCTGATGGGAGAGCAACAGTGTGCTGTTCTGCTTTTCTAGTTACTAGGAAATTATGCAATTAAGCTTGCGTGCTTCAGACAGTTAATTTCCTACTTTAAACATATTCACCTCCCTCCTTCAGTAGATTGCTTATCCAGCTCTATGTTTAGTTTCAGAGAGTATCTACCAATAGTACTGAAAAGGGCCCACACTGACCCCAAAGTGGTTACAATTTCCCCTATAATGGCTGGTACTGACTGAAGAAGGGAAGGACTAAAGAATGTGCCACCATTTCCCTCTGAAACTGAACTGCCACGTTTTGGAAGAGCCCTAAGTTCATAGCCTTCCTCAAGGGGTATGTAGGAGAAAAATCCAGTCCCCTCCTCCTCTTTATGGCAGAGTGCCCCATTTGCACAGGCAGATAAAGAAATGCAGCATTAGTCCTGACTCAGAATAATTGACTTCTGGGGAAAAACCAAAGTAGGTGGTAATTGTGTGTTGAGTGATTTAGAAATCCTGAAGATGCAGTAAACTGACAGCTAGGAACAAGTTGCAATGTTTGCACTGAATCTCTAAGTTGGAATGATGTCGAGATCTGGACGAAGGAAGGATAAATCATGAGAAGTCAGCATAAATCCTTCTCAGATCGTGATACTTCCAAAGTCAGTTTCTGCATTGCAGCTGGGGATGAAAGGTCTTACATGATCAAGTAGCCGTAAACTGTCAAAACTGGAAGAGGTCCCTCAAAACACCCGATTGCACATCCATGACATCTGTTATGACAGACCAGAATATAAAACTCACTCCAGTTCACACTGGATGAGCATAAAGCCACAAGGCCTAAAACTTTCAGCCTCCCTTCTCATGAATAACCTGCCACTCTCGGAGGAGGATGGTTCCCAGTTCCACTTTTACCAAAATCAAGCGGAAGCAAAGCAGATACAATTTCTGGAGCCCAGAGACTGAAAGCCCCACCCCAGACCAGTTTTATGCCAGTTGTCTGATCTCCACTGCCGACTGCCCCGAGTAGCTCCGACGGACGTCAGTTGGCAGGCTGGGCCTGCAAGCCCCGGTGAAAGGCAGCCAGCCCAGCGCCAGGAACACGCTCAGAGTTTCTCTGAGGCGCAAGGTTACATCGTGGTCACCTCAGTGCTTTTTCTCAAAGTCTGTGGGAGATCAGACATGTTTGCGACCAGTGCCCATTTACCATGTACTTTGCTAACTGTTTATTTTCATCTACTGAACCCCTAAGTATTTATTTTCTCTTTTTTTTTTCCTTTTTTTGATGTTTAATCTCCCCGTTTCTTTCCCATAACCCTTCATGATCTTTCTGCAATGCCTTATCATAATTAACCAAATGCTTCTGTTTGCTTATATGGTGACTATCATCGCATTTTGTGCTTTGGTGGGTGTGGCTTGTTTGGGGTTTTGGTTGAAAATTTCGCCATTTGCCTCTTCTGCAATTTCCCTAACATTTGTACTGGGTCCCTGATACATTACAATGTCTAACAACTTTAAAATGTGGAATACTTCTCCAAGACTGCGGCCTCATTCTTATAGAAAAGGACACTGTTAGCAAAGATTGAATGCTTACTACCCACTCACAGATAAGTAGAACTGTCTGGTATTGTTTCCTTACACTAGGCAGGTATATGTGCATGTCGCAGCACTCAGTAAGGTACAACAAAGGGTTGGCAGAGCCTTACATTGGGCAGTTGTTCTTTGCATCATCGGTTACTGCCTCTGCGTGCTGTGGAGTGTAGTTGGGAGGCAAGGTGTCTTTCTGCACCCTGAACACTCGCTCCTCCAGCAGAGCTGTCACAGCTACACTTCAGTCCTTGTGATTTCAATTGTCTAGATTTTTAAAAATAAAAATTTAGAGAGAAACAAACAAAATCTGAGCTAAAAAGTGGACCTGCATGTAATTGCCACTTCTTATATGTCCTTCAGGCATAATTTAAGAGAAAATTTTTTTCCTCTTCTGGCCTAAAGCATACTGAACCCTATTTCCAGGCACAGCCTGCATTGGCCAGACCTGTACCCAGCTACCTTGAGTATGTGCTTTTCCATTATCCGTTCCTTCAAGTCATCCAATGTCACTTGTGACATTGCCTGCTATTTTTTTTAAACTAATCCTCCCTTGCCTCAAAGAAAGATCGTTGTATTTAAGTCGTGTTATGTTACGAAGACAGCGTTTCTTTTGCCAGGAAATTTGCATGATACAGCAGTGTCCTTTGGTAATATTTTTTCCTTTCTACAGAAACACACTGTACTCCAACACTATGGTTCTGTGTGTCAACACTTCCACGCCCTCATTTCTCTCTAGCATAAGATCTACTTGTGTTGGATCATTAACTCTGATCACTGATTTGACATCTTTTCACCTACCTAACCAGACACCACAGAGCAGACTGAGAGCCCAGGCTGTCTGCACATTGCATGCAGTCACGCTCTCGCTTTGTCCTCTAACATCACATTGGAAATGAATTTGAAGTAATGTTCCCATTTGGGCAGCCAGTTCATGAGAATGCTCTATTCCAGAGCAATTTGGCAAGTGATTATTTTGGATTAGTGTTTCCATAGGGAGTTACTCTTGAACAGCTTGTGGAACTGCAGAGCGATGTCTTATGTAGTAGCTACCCTAATTATTTTTCCCCGGGTAGACGGACCGACACCCCCCCTCCATCCCCACAAGTGGTTCATGTCAATTTGCATACATTACTACTTTTTCTCTGCTCAAAGCATTTAATAGGGGAGAAGTGCTTTAAGTGTCAGTATTAATTTTCAGCATTGACAGCTGAATTAGTGCTCATTGAAATCGAAGTGCAGGCAGCTCAGTTGTTGTTCATCCCCTGCTAACTGCATTATATTCAAGTCACACTTGGGTGGCTCGCTGTAGCCGTGCCAGCCAGAGAACTACTCGGAGTCAAAACCCGCTGAAGACACGTTCGCGTCCCCTCTGACAAATCCTTTGAGAAACAAACATTGCACTAACCCCATGCTTTATTCTGGTGTAAGCTTTATAATATGTAGTTCTCGAGGGCTTGCTTTAAATAACTGAAAACTAACGCTCATGGTGTCTTTTTCCCTTCCCTCCCATATTTCTTTGTAGGTTGTAGCTACTGGTGCAATAACGGGCTCCACCTTGCATGCTTCCATGTGTTGTATCCTAACCGGCAACTTGGACAATCACCTTCCATTTAAAAAAGCAAAAAAACAAACCACGAAATTAACCCATGGACATAATCAACACTTTATCCGAATTCTCCTTTTCTGCCTTTTTCCGCTTGGTGTGGGCTGTTAGCTTGAATAACAACTCCTGTCTGCAAGAAGTTACTGTCTAACAACGTGGCCGTCTTTTCACTTCTGAAGCATTTCAGCAGGCTGTAACTTCCTCCTGGAAAGGGTCTAGTGATCTGCTCTCTAACTGACCAGGTGCAAGCAACAGCGACTGCTGTGTGTCCTGCCCAGCAGGTTGGGGGGGTTTCCTGAAACTGGTGTGACTTGCCTGCCAGTCTCACGAGGCAGAGGGGTGCAGTTTCCTGGTTGCGGTCTGAGGTTACGCCTGTCATCCTTAGTGCTGGACTGTGGCTTTGTGACTGAAGGGGACAGGTACATTTTCACAGGCACAGCCGATGGCTGAACGCTCCCCTTGCACTGCAAACCAGCAAGAGTTGAGGGCCAGATTGTGCCGGCTCTTGCTTGGGACCAGAGCCAGTGTTGAAGCCAGGGTCAATTTTGTCGGGGGCTGGACGAAGCTGGTGCACTTCCTGAGTGGAAAAAAGGATGGTCCTTGCTCTGCTTGGAGCAGGCCGCAGTCCCTTAGCCTGCTGGGGACCAGGCCACAAGCGGTGTCCAGAACTGGCCCGCACGGGTCAGCTGGGATCAGCTACAATGCTGTGTAAAAGAGGAGGAAAGCAAGAGCACCCTTCAGTTCCTCCTCCTCCTCCCCTTGCAAATCCAGTGCATTGAATTTTATGATTTGCTTCTGTTTACATCCCCTGTTCGGCAAAATGTCTGACTTAACGTTAGGGGCTTTGCAGAATTGTAGGTAACACAACAAATACGTGCCTTTTTAGAAAAGGTCTTTTTTCATTCTTTACCAATTCACGATTTTGAAAAACTATCTTGTTTCAAAGGGGAGGGGACAGGGACAGAGGACAATATGTACCAAGAACCAGAGAGGTTTCTACTGTCTTCAAGTGAGGACAAATACACTCACGTATTCATTCTCTCAGAAAGTCTCCTGCAAGAGCTCACATATCCAGGCTGTCTGCCTTGCTGTCACCTGAGTGTGTGTGTGTAGGAAGGCATTTTGAGTGAGAATGTTTTAGCTATGCTAGCAGTTTAAGGGTGAAGGAAAAGACATCTTTCATGCACTTGCTACAGTCTATAAAGAGGAGCAAATGGGTTTGGGTTTGCTCTGTTGAGTTTTTTTTAACTGATTGATGTACCTTGTCAAAACACCCCTTTCTCTTAAAAAGAAAATTCTGTAAGTAATTTTTTCCTTCCCTTAGAATCATAGAATTGTTCAGGTTGGAAAAGCCCTTTAAGATCATCAAGTCCAACCGTTAACCTGGCACTGCTATGTCCACCACTAAACCCTGTCCCTAAGCGCCACATCTCCGTGGCTTTTGAATACCTCCAGGGATGGGGACCCAACCACTTCCCTGGGCAGCCTGTTCCAGTGCTTGACAGCCCTTTTGGTGAAGAAATCATTCCTCATATCCAATCTAAACCTCCCCTGGTGCAACTTGAGGCCGTTTCCTCTTGTCCTGTTGCTTGTTACTTCGGAGAAGAGACGGGGACCCACCTCACTACCCCCTCCTGTCAGGTGGTGGTGGAGAGCGATAAGGTCTGCCCAGATCCCTCTGCAGAGCCTTTATGCCCTCCAGCAGATCGACACTCCTGCCCAACTTGGTGTCATCTGCAAACTTACCGAGGGTGCACTCGATCCCCTCGTGCAGATCGTTGATAAAGATATTAACCAGAACTGGCCCCAGTACTGAGCCCTGGGGAACACCACTTGTGACCGGCTGCTGTCACACAAGCTGCAGCTCCTGGGGCTCTCTTCAGGGAAACCAGGTGCCCGCTGAAAACGCGTGTCGGGCTTCTGCCCACCATAGGTCCTTGTGAAAACCTCCCGCTTCTCCAGTTTGAGCCAAATCATGTTTGTGCTGTATGTTTCCACTGATGAGGCTGACTGAGCATGAATAAGTTCATGTGTTTGCTGCTTAATTACTTCAGCCTCTTTTGTGGGTGGTCTGAAGTTGTACGAGATCAGAATCTAACCCATTTTAGTTCCTTTTATAGGACTGTAGCTTTGTAAGAAAAATTAAATAACTCTTGCCCCCTCCCTTCTCCTCTCCCTCCCCACTCTTTTCAGCATTAACAGTAGCAAAGTTGTCCTGCGTTTTGAAAGATTTGGCTTGGGAATCCTGGAACCAAGTAATCAAAAGATATAGCATGGTGTGTGATTGTCTTGTGATAATGTTGTCTGCCTACTTACACAAAGCATCAGAAGTCTTCACTGAATCTTCCGAGCTATGAGACTGGTGCAGCCGCAGCTGAAAGCCGCACGACCATCAATTCACAGTCCCGTGTTGTTTGCAAAGTCTGAATTCTGCCTGAGCACCAGCAGTTATTTAAAGAATGTTTACATGATACTTTTGTGTGAACTATATTTTTTTAAACATAATAAACAGTGGATCATTTAACTACAGCCATTCTCAAATAGCACTGAAAAAAGAAGAACTATATCTAGTTCCTTCTTGTGTCTGTGGTAAATAGGAGCTGTCTTCTGCCTTCAAAGTATTTGTTTTCCCGAAGTGGAAGTGGCTTGTACAAGGGGTTGGAGTTGCAGATTGCGTTTTTCTTTTATCAAGGTAAAAATCAATCTAATCTACTACACTGTGATTTGCCCAAACCAATCATAGAGCTCTGAGGTTTGTTTCAGCAGGGTTGGTCCAAGCTCTGGGTTACCTGGAATGAAGTTACACTAGCACAAACCGCCTGCCGAGAGGAGAGTTTCTGATCACGCAGGCTCTCTCAAAGACTCAAGCGCTCTTCTACACAGAACTCACAATGAAAGCTGCTTATTCTCATACAATCCCATAGGAAGCTTAAGACTTGCCAGCCTTTGAAAAAGTAAGACCATGACTTGTTCTAGCTCTGCGCACACAGGGGCCTAATTCTTCTTTTGAAGTCTTAGGCACAAGTTCTAGTCCCCTAAACTAGCAGCTTTTCTGGAAATACAGCACTGCCCAACCTGACTTGACTCTTACTGCCCCAGTCACCGTTTCATTTGGAGAAGACATTTTCCAGAGCTGCAGGGAGAGGCAAGAGAGACAAGGGAAAAAGCCATCCCTACATAACACATTAAATAAGGTCTTGATGCACAGAGCTTGTTAAGAGATCCGGTCATTCCCCCTGCCGAGCGTCACCAGCTCCTATAGCTGGTCACACTGAAGTTTGCAAGCTGTTTGTTTTAAAAAATTTAGGACTTGTTTAGGGGAAAACAAAGAGCAACAGAAATCTTGCAGCCAGGAAGGTTACATCTGGGTCTAGAGGACCCAACTCAACCCAACAGCTCAGACTTGTTGCAAAGGTTAATTTTAAGACAAAAAACCCCCTCGCACCCTCTCCAGTGCGTAACCTGCAGGTTATAAAGGACACGTCCCATTACTGCATTTAAGGTGACGGATGCGTTATCCCACTTGCAAATGAATTGCGAGCGTTCACAAAGGCTCCCTCCTGCCTCCTGTTCATATTGCTCTGCCTCTCCTGCCAGGGCAGTGGGAGGACCCTGACTGTACAAAGAACATTCAGATCCCGTCTGTCCTCATCCTACTTCATTTTGCTGAGACAGTTCATTAGGGCTCCCTGGAAGTCGCCAAATTTCACTCCTCCGACAGCCCCAGTACGTTACACACCTCCCTCTACACCTTTCGCCGTCGTCGCAAGGGTTTGATGTGAGGGTCACATGGAGAGGAGCTCTGAAGTCCTCTGTAAGGCAGGCAAGGTGACAGGCACAGCTTGGCTGACTTTTGTAGAAAATTAAGTGGCAAAAAAAAAATTCCCGAGTTCTGTTGAGCAGAGAGCTTCACTCCTACTATGGGCAAGTCAGTTCTATTCTCTTACAAATATTTTGATAGAATGACTTTTTAAATGTGTCTCAGATAGAAAAGAAAGAATTGCTTTGGTGGTAGCCAAGCGTGGCATTGCGGTACTATTGACCTCCCTCCTCTCCCCCACCTTTATAAAGCAAATAAACCCCCTCCAAACATGCTGTGTATTTAACCGACGCCACACGGTTCTCTTCGAGACTTCCTACCGTTTGTTCTCTCTCAATAATTTCGTGTCGGCAGTTTTAAGCAGAAGTTGTTTCCCCACTGAGTACTGCTTAAATAACAATGGCACAACACAAACCTAAAGCGGGGAGGAACGTGCTCCTTTGCGCCGGTAACGTTACGGACCCACGAGCCAAAACCCTCCGCGGGCCTCGCTGCGCGCCTTGCCTTGGGGAAGAGCAGAAGCTGCTGCTGGATGCGAATCGGTGCTTTGCAGCCTGCAGTTCCGAGCAGCCCTTCAGCTCACGCTGCCTTTGAGGGTGGCAGCAGCCTTGGGCTGCCCCTCACGAGTTCTTTGTGCATAAAACTCTGTGTGCATAAAACGGGGCCCGAAAGCTGCGACACCCAGAACTCCTCAGTGCGGGGGCCAGTCGCCAACTTGCAAACAGCGTTTCCTTGCCGCTCAGCAGCGCCAACGCTGCTGTGCAAACGTGCAAGAACTACGCTGGGAAAGCAATAGCTCCTCAGTTTTGGTTTATTTTTTTTCTAATAAGGTGACTGGCTAGGAGAAGGACAGCCAGCACTGGATGACCAGCCAGATTAAAACAAAGTAATTAAACCCAAAAGCGCTATCACCGTTTGTCCTTCCTATGACTGCCCTCGGGTGGAATCCACACGCTGCCTGCAGAGGCTTTCCAGGGGAAGCTGCCTCGCCCCCGCTCCGGGCAGGGCCACTCGCCCCAAACCCGACGTCCCCTCGTGCTGCGCTCTGGAGCACGCTGAACGCTACGGGCAGACCTGTCCCCGCTGGGCGCTGCCCTGCTGCTCCGGTCCCGGGGGCAGGAGGGGCTTCAAAACCCACCTTTAATCATGAGATTTGGGATTCTAATTCAACCTGACCCTGGGTTTGTGTTTAACGCCCATAAATTGCTCTTGAAAGCAAAACCCAGCCTCCTGGACCCAGTATATCAGAGCGTAGAGACCGGTCACCATCTCTGAGTAAGTTTTGTTTTAATCGGCTGGTGTAAGACACGGAAACGAGCCAAGAGCAGCGGGGCTGTAGAGCTGCGAGGGGAGCGGGGCTCCCTCACCCCTCAGCGTGTTGCAAACCAGGCGGCGGTGGCTGGGTTGCGTCGTTCTGCGGTCACGCGTCCTGTCTGCTTGTGTGCTGGCCTAAGGGCGTGAGGCACCGTAAGCCCGTGCCATTTTAGAGTTGTAAATGTGAAGCTGGCTGTACAATGCTGCTACAAAAGCCACACGTCAGTAGTGAATGTAAATCGAGTCTGTAATATGGTAAAAATGGACACATTTTCTTTTCAAATGTGATGTAAACTTTGTACAGTAAAAATTTTTTTTTTATATTTTCTATCAACTGAGTGTCTTCCAGAATTGCTATTAAATTAATTAAAAATTGTTAGTATTAACAACAGTTTCTGTATTAGTTTATGCAACTGGGAAAAAAAAAAAAAGAGTGCACTCTATGCTAATGAAATTCTGGATATGTAGGAGTCTTTTCAGTGAATAAATCTTTGCTCTGGATAAAGCACGCGTTACAGAACTGTGGTTTGACCTTTCCCCCCCCCCCATCTACTTGTAGCGAAATTAAAGGAAGAGCAGATTCCCGTAGTGACCCACTGACACATCGCGCCGGGCTGGGGGACGCGCAGGACACGGCGGCGTTCCACCCCCCGCAGCAGCGA